AAAACGTGTCCACCTCGTGCACTCGGTGGAAGAAGGTTCGGACGCGGGTCTCCGCGTCCAAGCTGTCGCCGTATAGCTGGCGCAAGCACTTTGGCAGCCGCGGGCGAGGCAAGTCGTCGCCGAGCGCGCGCTCCTCGACATGCAGCTTGGGCTCGTGCGGAGCCTTGCGCGCCGCCCTCTCTGCCGGGCATAGGCAAGAAGCTGCTGCCTGCTGCGCCTGCGCCGCCATCTCTGCTGACAACTTCGGCAGCACGCGAGACACGAACTCGTGGCCGAACCTCCAGTCCTTGTCGCGGCCGCGACGGGCAGCGCGAAACAGCGCGCCAAGAGAAGATTCTTTCTCTTGCAGGAATTCTGCGCGGCGGCTCGCCAGCAGGCAACAAATCGGTCCACTTGCCGCTGCAGCGCCGGCCGAAACGCCAAGCGCTCGCCCTCGCCGGGCTCGCAAAGCATGGCCTCCCACTCGGCCAGCTCGTCCTTCTGCCCCTGTGAAAACTTTGGGTAACAGCGGCGCATGAAATTTTGACCGAACTTGAGGCCTTGATCATTTTTCACGGCGTGCACTTCAAACAAAGACTTAAGCGAAGGCTTCTGCAAGCTCTGGAAGTACTCGGCTCGATCTTCGAGCAGAGCGATAAACTTTTCCAGCTGTCGCTGCAGCGCCGGCCAAAACGCCAGGCGCTCGCCCTCGCCAGGCTCACAAAGCATGGCCTCCCACTCGGCCAGCTCGTCCTTTTGCTCCTGTAAAAGCTGTGGGTAGCAGCGAAGCATGAAATTTTGGCCGAACTTGAGTTCCTTATCATTTTTCACGGCGTGCGCTTCAAACAAAGCTTTAAGCGAAGGCTTCTGCAAGCTCTGCAAGTACTCAGCTCGATTTTCGAGCACCGCGATAAACTTCGCCAGCTGTCGCTGCAGCGCCGGCCGAAACGCCAAGCGCTCGCCCTCGCCAGCGTCACAAAGCATGGCCTCCCACTCGGCCAGCTCGTCCATCTGCTCCTGCGAAAGCTGTGGGTAGCAGCGAAGCATGAAGTTTTTGCCGAACCGAAGCTCCTTATCATTTTTCACGGCGTGCGCTTCAAACAAAGCTTTAAGCGAAGGCTTCTGCAAGCTCTGCAAGTACTCAGCTCGATTTTCGAGCACCGCGATAAACTTCGCCAGCTGTCGCTGCAGCGCCGGCCGAAATGCCAAGCGCTCGCCCTCGCCAGCGTCACAAAGCATGGCCTCCCACTCGGCCAGCTCGTCCATCTGCTCCTGCGAAAGCTGTGGGTAGCAGCGAAGCATGAAATTTTGGCCGAACTTGAGTTCCTTGTCGGTCTTCGCTGCGTGGACTTCAAATAAAGCTTTCAATGACACCTTGCGCAAGCTAATAAAAAAATCTGCTCGTTTCTCAAGCAGCGCGAGAAACCTTTCATACTGATCTTGGAGCTCTGGCTGCGCTTGCTTGGGCGACACGCACAGCCGAGCCTCCCATGCCCGGAGCTCCTCCCTCTGCCCCTCTGTAAAGGAACCGGTATAAGGCGGCCCTGTCTGGAATGGCCGGCTTGCCTCGCCTGGCCTCGCCAGTGCGCAAAAGCGAGGCCATGTCTTGGCACTGCAGCTGTCGCAGTTCTGCGGCGTTTGCCGCCAGGTAGGTCAACAGGACCTGAAAGCGGTCCTCACTAGTGTTGCTGTCATCGCGATCCATGGCGCGAGCAGCCGGCCGAAACGCCAAGCTGCCCTGAGTAGCGGGTGCGCAAGCGGCCGGCCGAAGCACCAACCTCTGAAAAAAAGTCGTATGCGTTGTTGGTTGTTGATTTTCTGAGTAGTCTGTAAAAAGTCCCCCTGAGGGGAAACACGGGCGCCACTAATACTGCTTACAGACTGTGACTCTCTGCACAAACAGAACAACACAAAACAACATCCCTTGGAGCGCTTGACTGACTGTGGGGTTGAGTAAAGTGTGACAAGTTGCGTGGTCAGGTGTGAGGTGTGCCAAATGCCCAAGTCACGAAAGTAACTACATTTGAGCCAACGTTTTCTGCATCTTGCCATCCCCCAGCTCGCAGAGAATCTTGCGAAAGTGCTGCGCCGGCTGCGCCTGCCACGAAATCTATACTTGACCTTGCGAAAGTGCTGCGCCTGCCACGCAATTCAAACCTTGCGAAACCTTCGCGCGGCCGTGCCAATGGGCCCGTCGCCGAACCCGTTCCGAGACCGTTTAACCACCGTTCCGAGACCGTTCCGAGACCGTTCCGAGACCGCCTCCGTACAGGCGTCGCAGCCGAGGTGGTTTGCGCACGTCCGGAAGCCCAATTCACGCACAGCGCCAACGTTTTCTGCATCTTGCCATCCCCAGCTCAGAGAGTGGACGCAGCACTTATGTGCTGCGCCTGTCACGAAACGATACCTGACCAGGCGTGCTGCGCCTGCCACGAAATCTATACTTGACCTTGCGAAAGTGCTGCGCCTGCCACGCAATTCAAACCTTGCGAAACCTTCGCGCGGCCGTGCCAATGGGCCCGTCTCCGAACCGTTCCGAGACCGTTCCGAGACCGTTCCGAGACCGTTCCGAGACCGCCTCCGTACAGGCGTCGCAGCCGAGGTGGTTTGCGCACAGTCCGGAAGCCCAATTCACGCACAGCGCCAACGTTTTCTGCATCTTGCCATCCCCCAGCTCGCAGAGAGTGGACGCAGCACCTTGCGAAAGTGCTGCGCCTGCCACGAAATCGATACTTGACCTTGCGAAAGTGCTGCGCCTGCCACGAAATCTATACTTGACCTTGCGAAAGTGCTGCGCCTGCCACGAAATCTATACTTGACCTTGCGAAAGTGCTGCGAAAGTGCTGCGCCTGCCACGCAATTCAAACCTTGCGAAACCTTCGCGCGGCCGTGCCAATGGGCCCGTCTCCGAGACCGTTCCGAACCCGTTCCGAGACCGCCGAGACCGCCTCGCAGAGTGCATCGCAGCCGAGGTGGTTTGCGCACAGTCCGGAAGCCCAATTCACGCACAGCGCCAACGTTTTCTGCATCTTGCCATCCCCCAGCTCGCAGAGAGTGGACGCAGCACCTTGCGAAAGTGCTGCGCCTGCCACGAAATCGATACTTGACCTTGCGAAAGTGCTGCGCCTGCCACGAAATCTATACTTGACCTTGCGAAAGTGCTGCGCCTGCCACGAAATCTATACTTGACCTTGCGAAAGTGCTGCGCCTGCCACGCAATTCAAACCTTGCGAAACCTTCGCGCGGCCGTGCCAATGGGCCCGTCTCCGAGACCGTTCCGAGACCGCCTCCGTACAGGCGTCGCAGCCGAGGTGGTTTGCGCACAGTCCGGAAGCCCAATTCACGCACAGCGCCAACGTTTTCTGCATCTTGCCATCCCCCAGCTCGCAGAGAGTGCACCTTGCGAAAGTGCTGCGCCTGCCACGAAATCGATACTTGACCTTGCGAAAGTGCTGCGCCTGCCACGAAATCTATACTTGACCTTGCGAAAGTGCTGCGCCTGCCACGCAATTCAAACCTTGCGAAACCTTCGCGCGGCCGTGCCAATGGGCCCGTCGTTCCGTTCCGAGACCGTTCCGAGACCGCCTCCGTACAGGCGTCGCAGCCGAGGTGGTTTGCGCACAGTCCGGAAGCCCAATTCACGCACAGCGCCAACGTTTTCTGCATCTTGCCATCCCCCAGCTCGCAGAGAGTGGACGCAGCACCTTGCGAAAGTGCTGCGCCTGCCACGAAATCGATACTTGACCTTGCGAAAGTGCTGCGCCTGCCACGAAATCTATACTTGACCTTGCGAAAGTGCTGCGCCTGCCACGCAATTCAAACCTTGCGAAACCTTCGCGCGGCCGTGCCAATGGGCCCGTCTCCGAGACCGTTCCGAGACCGTTCCGAGACCGTTCCGAGACCGCCTCCGTACAGGCGTCGCAGCCGAGGTGGTTTGCGCACAGTCCGGAAGCCCAATTCACGCACAGCGCCAACGTTTTCTGCATCTTGCCATCCCCCAGCTCGCAGACAGTGCTTGCGAAAGTGCTGCGCCTGCCACGAAATCTATACTTGAGAAAGCTATCTACGTGTTAAGCTGGCTATATGTCAAAGCTATCTATCTGTCATGCAAGCCTATTGGAAAGCTATCTATCTGTCAAGCTAGCTATATGTCAAAGCTATCTATTTGTCATGCAAGCCTATTGGAAAGCTATCTATCTGTCAAGCTAGCTATATGTCAAAGCTATCTATTTGTCATGCAAGCCTATTGGAAAGCTATCTATCTGTCAAGCCAGCTATATGTCAAAGCTATCTATCTGTCAAGCTAGCTATATGTCAAAGCTATCTATTTGTCATGCTAGCTACCTGTCATAGCTATATGTCAAAGCAGCTAGCTCATTTAGTTCCAGTACTACGGAAGTTTCTTGTTAAACTTCCTTTGATCAGTCGGTCGACATCGGGGTTCTGGTTTCGGGGTTGCACCCCCGGCCCCCTGGTCCAGGGTTGGTTCCCGGCGTTTTTTTTCTCGCATTTTTAGGCCTTCCATGTGCATCACAGGTTAGTTGTGGTCATTTGGTCAACTCCGAAGGCAAAGGATGGATGAAATAGGAGAAACTCCGCACCTGGAGTCCTGACTTGGCGTCTGCAACAGCTCCATCTTGTCGAGCACTGTGGCTGTTGTTCAGGGGCGTTTCCCTTCAGCGCTGACCTTGAGAATGGAAATCTCATGGACCTTCGTAACCTGCAAGTCCGATGGATGGGTCGCTTTCAGCATTCAACGAGCCGGCAAAGGAGTTTGATAGGGGCACAAGGGCTTGTGTGCACGCGCACACACAGACACAGACACAGACGCACATCAACTCAACACACACACACACACACAGCACGGTATCTTGACTGCTGTTGGGTTGGATCTTTCGGCTTTAAGTTTTTGGGGGATCAAGGAGTTTTCCACTAAACCCCAAAAAGTTAAACTTTTTGCAGGGGGGTCAACAGCCACCAAGGTATACCCAGATCGTTTCCGTGTTGGCGTGCGATTCCAGGCGTGGCGCACATTTTCCGCGAGATGCTGAAACCCATCGTCTTCCTGCACAACTTGAAACCTGAAGCATTGATGATGGGGGGGGTGCGGGGGACCTGGATTTGGACCTTCCTAAATTTAAGTGGCTTTCGAACAATGCGTTTTTTGCCTTCGAGCACCCTTTTGAATCCTTTGAGCAGTTGCCTTGCTACGAGATTCACTACGCCTTGGTGGGAATCCAACAAAGAAGTACCATGGGCCAGAAAAAACGCCACGTCCAGTGACATCTGCAAGTTGGGCCAAGTCCAATTTGTGGCTTACCCATTTCCGAGCCCAACATCTCGAGAGCTTGCCCTGGGATCCCAAGGCTCCGGGAAGACACAGGTAGAGTCAAAGTGGAAACCATTGGGTTTGTTGGGTTTGATCTACCCCAAAATGGTTTTTTTCCGCCCATTTTTGGTTTTCCACCCTTTGTGTTTTGTTGATTTTTGCAGGGTTCGGCTCCTTCGCCAATTTTTTGTTTTCCACCCTTTGAGCGTGCACCATTTGTAGAAACAAGACAACGGGGACATAAATTCCACAGGAAGGTGAAGCATTCGCTTTTAAATGGGGGGACGCCTTGTATGAAAACAGGCGTTTGTTAATCCTGGGTTTCCGTGACCAAGTCAATCACCGAGGTTTTTCCCTTTTGGCCAAGGTGGATTGCCTGACTTTGGTGGTAATCATATGATTCAGTGGACCCTACCAGGTTCTATAGGTTCTCATTCGCAGGTTCCAGCTTGCGGAAATGTGTGTACCATCATGATAGAAGCCATTTTGGGGTCGGCCGAGAGAAATGCATAAATCCCGGGTTATTGCAGAGCTTATGAACACCCTGAATATTTGGGTTATTCGTTCGAATCATTCGAAAAAGGACAAGTGAAGGACAATCCCTAGCCTTCGGGAGGGCGTTAAACCCCAATTTAGGGTTGGACGCCGCCAATACAGGGAGTCTTCGAAAGCTTAGTGCCTGTTTCCTTAGATGTTTTCTCCCCGAATGGGCTGAATTTCAGCAGCAAACCGTGTGGTTCGATCACTTTCCTTTGGGGAGAGGGGGCGCGTTTCAGGATGTGTCAGAAAAGCTTTGGGGCAGGTTGCTTGGATGTTAGGACTTTAACCTTTTGCCGACTAGTGGATTTTCCGTATTAAACCACTAAAAGTTATTCACTTTTACCAGGGGAGCAGACAGCAACCGAGAAAAAGGCCGGGCATGGCATGGCACCCACCGAGGCGAATTGTGCACCGCGACATCAAGCCGGAGAACTTCCTCTTCTGCCACCAAATCGACCGGCGCCTCGTCGTTTGAGGCTCAAGGAAAAGAGAACGTGAGACGATGGTTTCTTGCCACAGGCGGAAAAATCCGTTTGTTGACCTCTAGGTTGTTTTTTCTGTCTTTTTCTGACTTTTTGTTAAACAAACAAGACATTGAAAGGGAACCAGCCCTCTTTGGCGGCTCCCTTGATTTTGAGAGACACCCTTTGTTTCAGTGAACCCGGCTGGCAAGGCTTGTTCTTACAGGTTGGAAGTTCTGGAATGGCTGATACAACTCAAAGAACTCTTCAAGACACGGGGCTGCATTTCCTTTACCAACTCCAAGAAAGGGCACCCTCAAGGAAGAATGCGCCCAGCAAGTCGTTGGTTCAAGCCCTTGGATTCTTTGGTTTTCTGGTGTTCACGGCTGCCATGCACTTTTCAACGAAAAAGGACACCTGTAAACGGGTGTGTGTGTGTGTGTGTTGAAATCGGGGCGTCGCAGGGAGCTAGACCGCTAGACCCGCTTGATGTATCCTCAAAGGCAACTCGATCCACAGACCCTCCGACCAGACTCCGCAAATGATACCACAAATATGCAAATATGCCCTATACGCTTGACCCCATTTGCTTACCCCATGTTGCACCCGCGGAATCATTCATGGAAGCCAGCTGCAGGAAAAAATCGACAGGAAATTCGCCAAATACCCACCACAGACAAGGATGTCCTCTATATGTTGCTGTAGCTGGTTTCTTGGAATCACGCTGCCATAAGCACAGCAAGGGGCAAGCAAGGGCGTTTCCTGGAGATCAGATCTCAGCCTTGGATATGAGACTAGATCGAAATTATGTCCGCCGGCACGCATAAATTTCAGAAATTCAGTCTCTAGGTTCAATCTAATTAGAATCTAATTTTGCTGTGGAAGAGGACGCTGTCAAGTCCACCAACAGCCCAATCAACGAGTCTCCCTCTCCATTTATGTCGACAATTCGCTTTTGAGGGCAAAAAAGACGGACATCTCTGCAGCCAATCTGGGGCACAACCTATGGCTCCATTTTGGGGTGGATGAACATCCACGTCCACCTACAGGGTTTTGCCAAGCGGCTGTGGGTCAACACCCTGGTGAACATCAAAATAGGTGGCACATGGATGTTCATCCACCCCAAAATGGCTCGCCATAGGTTATGCAACCCGTGGCCACAGATCTGCAGCCAATCTGGGGCATCACCTATGGCTCCATTTTGGGATGCATTTGTTTTATTTTCTTTGAGGTTCACCAGGGGTACCAGGGGTTTTGACCCACAGCGAATCTGAGGTCTGAAGTAAAGCTTTGTGATTTTGGCCTGGCTACAGAGATGCCGACCATCGGCGCCTGGGTGCGTGGCATCTTTGGTTTTTGGGGGCTTTGTGGGGAGCTGTTGGATGCCGAACGCTTGGGTTGTCCCACAAAGGTTGGAATTGAATATTGGACCGCAAGGAACATCTAGGCCCTTGAGCTGATCTACACCGAGCTGAGCAGCGCCCAAAACCTGCTCACTTTCGATTGAGCATGTTGACCCAGCATGGTTTTAGAATTGACTATCATTCGCCATGAAAGCAGGTAGACCACGGCAAACAAACAAAACTGCCCAAGGGGTTTTCCCAGGACTGTGGTTTTCCCACGCCTGGCAGTTCCCTCAGTTTGCGCGATCCCAACTTTCATGGGACACAGAAAGGAAGCAGCGGACTCCCAAGGAAAGTGCCCCGAGAAACGGTCGGCTTCTTGCAACGAGCAGTAAAAAATCGGGTTCTGTCCCGGCTGCGTGCGCTTGAAATCTCGTGGCTCGTCTCGTAAACTGACCATAGGCTACCTGTGGTTTCCCTTGAAATAGTTTTATAAGCCGCGAAAGCGGTGGTGCCCTCAAGAAGCGACGAATCCATTCACAACAAGTCCCCGTGTTCAGCTAAATTGTCTCATAGCCAGGGAGCAATGATCTGCCGAACTGGGGACAAAATGCTTGCCCTCTGACGACCTTACGTGGATTCCTGGGAGCCCGGCGAACCCGCGCTTGGTTTTGGAGGCCTGTCCGGGAGCCTCCGTTCAGGCCCAAATCCGATCCCCGAAAGGCTGGTCCACATTCGGGGGGCCTCTGAAACCAAGCCCCAGACTTTCCGGGCGACAGGAAACTGTGGTTTTGCACCGCGGGGGGGGGAGGTCGTGATTTCTTCGTAGGGCGCCAATGCTCCCAAGGTGGCAGTCAGGGGTGAGCAAGGGTCTGTGAATACGAGCCCCTATTTTCCAACTGGTGGGCAGGGGGCACAGGCAGGGTTTGCTGTTTGGACATGGACCTGAACTTGTGTAGAAACCCTCTTCGAGGGTCCAACCCTTGATGTCCATCCATTTCCAACCAGAAAGGGAATGGGTTGCACGGCAGACCCTCAAAGATGCTTCAAGGAGTGGCCTCATGGAAGCAATGTCTGCAATTGGTTGCGCAGGTTCGATCAAAATGTTCAGTCGTCGATGGCCTATTTGGGAAGAGAAATACAAATTTTCATCTGGAAACTGGGGGCTACACATTTACCCATTTCCACTGAGGCTTTTTCCTCGCGTTTCACTGTTTTGTAGCAGGCAACAAGCCTCTCCGAAATTGCCCAGCAAGATGAACCTTGGCATCCGCCATCGGAACATGTGCCGGGCCGGCTGGCTGAGGCTTGAGGTCTGGACGCTACGGCACTCTGCCGTATATGTCCCCAGAGATGGTGGGATACAGCCGACGCCTCGGGTCTGGAGAAGCCAAGGGAAATGTGGCCCCGCTTCCTCACCATCCCCGCAATTCTGGTGAGCCATTGCCCGAAATCCGATTTGGGAAGAAGGACAAGGGACAGTCTCCTTGGATATGTGACACTGAGCCGGGTGCCGGGAGCGCCGATCGGCTCGATTTTGCCAGATGTTTGGAGCATTTGAGTAACTCACAATATTGGTACTCTACTGTTTACCTTCGGGCCCGTTACGGGTCCATCTGCCGGTGTCACGCACATTGCTGGGCACAGGGCAGCACGGTCACAGGGGAAACCCCGAGCTAACGCAACGGAGTGCGCATCCCCCGGTTTTTTTGATCCCGGAGCGGAGCTCGACCATGGTGAGCTGAGCAACGAACCTGAGATCTTCCAAGACCAGGGGTCCCCCCTCCAAACGAAAAAACGCATGAGTTGGTCTCTAAATTTGGGGAGACTCCAAAAAGGTCCTCCCTTTGGTCGGCCTTTAAACCAGCCCAAAAAGGGTACCGTCTCGAACCGACTCGCGAGGCGGGCATGGCTTCCCTACGGACTTGTGGTCCTTTGGCGCCTCAGCGTACTATCTGCTCTTCAACGAGTTTGCGCGCCCTGGACGAGTTTGCTCCTGAGTTCATCTTCAAACTTTTTGGGGAAGGCCATTTTAGTGCTAAATGTAACAGTTTGAGCTGTTTTTGGGCCATCCACTCAGCCAGTGAGTGGAAAGCACGAGAAGGACCCTAGTAGATGCGCGCTGTTTTTTCGTTTTTTTTTTTTTTTTTTTTTTTTTTTTTTTTTTTTTTTTTTTTTTTTTTTTTTTTTTTTTTTTTTTTTTTTTTAAATTTTCACCCAGAGAGGCTTGGTGGCTTAGGGACCTTGACGTGAACCTATTTGGGTATGTTTGTTTTTGTTCGCGGTTTAAATCGAACGGAAAGCACATGAGTGTGTGTGTGTGTGTGTGTGTGTGTGTGTGTGTGTGTGTGTGTCTGTGTGTCTGTGTGTCTGTGTGTCTGTGTGTCTGTGTGTCTGTGTGTGTGTCTGTGTGTCTGTGTGTCTGTGTGTCTGTGTGTCTGTGTGTGTGTTGTGTGTCTGTGTGTCTGTGTGTCTGTGTGTCTGTGTGTCTGTGTCTGTGTGTCTGTGTGTCTGTGTGTCTGTGTGTCTGTGTGTCTGTGTGTCTGTGTGTCTGTGTGTCTCTGTGTCTCTGTGTCTGTGTCTGTGTGTGTGTGTGTGTGTCTGTGTGTCTGTGTCTGTGTGTCTGTGTGTCTGTGTGTCTGCGTGTCTGTGTGTCTGTGTGTCTGTGTGTCTGTGTGTCTGTGTGTCTGTGTGTCTGTGTCTGTGTCTGTGTCTGTGTCTGTGTCTGTGTCTGTGTCTGTGTCTGTGTCTGTGTCTGTGTCTGTGTCTGTGTCTGTGTGTTTTTTTTCCCCCTGAGAATCGATGTGCAACCGGCACTTACGCCAGATGTGATCATTTGAACATCCAGGCGCCCTATGTGGGAACACTGGCGATAAGCTCAGGGTTCTACCTTTTTGTTTGCCACCAAGGTTTTTTTGAACCCAGGTTGTTACCAGGGTTTTTTTGAACCCAGGGTTCCATTTTGGGAGTACCTGGGCTTCCGTGGTTTCCATTAAGGGGTATATACCCCTTTTGGGGAGAGGATATGGTATGAACATCAGGCCTTTTGGGTTCTTTTGTCCAAGGGGTATGTGAAAGGAGTATGTACCGTGGCACTCTTGGATGGATGGGAAGCAGACCGAAGGTGGAGGACCATCATCTCATGAATGCCTCCGGTCCCGCATGATTCTTGGCGAGTGAGTCCTTCCTTTTGATCCACCGGTTGAACATGATTTCTGATTCCGTGCTAGGTTTATTGACATGTAAATGTTAGGTGCAATTTAATCCTTGATGGAAGATCTACTTTGAGTATTATACAATGTAAGAATGTGTTTAATAGTAGACAGCTGTTACTTGTAACATGCTGTACAATTAATTGTAGTCACCTGGAGTGAATATGGATCTGTCTACAGACTTAAAGTACTGTTTGATTTTAGTCATCAGCTAGTAGCGGCATATTTAATTCTTATGTAACACTTATGTATGTATAGAACAGAATTGATACCTTACAAATGCCGTGAGACCCAGCCTCTGTGCCTGAAGGCTCCAAAATTCATTTGACCCCGATAGGCATGGTATATCAAGTGTATGGTCAAACGGGAGGGGTGCACAATTCCCAGTGGGTAGAACGGTGGAATTCCCACAAAGGACAGGTGCGCACGAACAACGCGCCACATCAACCAAAAGCCAAGAACCGACCTTCTTGTTACCTGCATAGCCTTGACCGGAAAGAAGAACCGCATGTCAAGAGGAGCGTCGGATGCGGATGCGCCAAGCATTGAGTGACTCGAGTGAGGTACGGCTTTCAGAAGAACGGATGCCCCCAGACCATGGCGGCCAGCATACAGTCTGGCCAGCCACAGCCAAGGCGCAGCGCTGACACGAAAAATCGTCCAAGGGACCTGTTGGGGTCTTTGAAATTTGCAAGTTCCGGGTTCTGTAGTGCTACCTTCCATTTCCATTCTTTCCAGGGATCCGAATCTTTCTAGAAAACCTCCGAAAATCCATGGAAACGGATCCAGTGTTCGAAAGATAAATGGAAACAATGGGGAATCAACCCTTAGAGGTTCGCCTGAAGTGAAGGGACCCCACGGTTTTCAAAAAAACACGTACGAGATTCAGGTTGCGGCAGCATAGGATGACATGAGTGACTGACAAGTATTGGCAGTCTAGTGTTAGTTTGGCGGCTCCCAGCCATTCGGTTCCTTAGCTTTTTGAGCCTTTTAGTGTCTAGTGGTAGTTTCCATTCAAACCACTAGAAGTTAAACTTTTAGCGGGGGGTCTGAGGGTAGCCCAGTTTTTGCGGCCCCAACTGGTGCACAAAATCCAGGGGCGGGGTATTTCCCGTGCCCGCTGCGGGAGACCTGCATCATTTTGTGGGCTCCAGGTTGTGCCGGGCGGGGGGGGTCTTTGGTAAAATCATGAGGTCAGAAGGATCAAGCATCGCAGTGGCCCTTGTCGCCATGTAGAGAAATGGCTTCACGGCCGCCTTGCAATGTCGGCCCTGGCTGGGGTGGCAAATCTCAAGGAAAAAAACATGGTCAGCCCTTTCCCTGGGTAGCAAATGGTGCATTGTCAACTGTTCTCTTGGGTTGAACTCTCAACCCTAGTGACTCATGTTGCTTCGAGGGTTTGCCACGTCAAATGCCGGTGTCCCGTTATCTAGGTGTTTCTCAAAGTGGGATTCGGACCTCCTTTTGGTTTGGTATTTCAGTGAAACCAAAAGGGCACCAAGCACGGGGACCAATTCCTATGTTGGCAACCCATGTCGTGCCAGGTTTTTCAGCTTGGCTCAGCAGATCCGGACCACGAGCGGCCAGCAGGCCCCGATACTGGTCGAAGCTCTGTCAGAGGGCGGCGGTTCTTGGAGCTGGGGCTCCTTTTGGAGTGGTTTTGAAGGAAAGCCATTTGTTAAGCCATGTGTTAGGGAGAAAAAGGCCAGAACTGCCATCTTCTTGCACACATGTGTAACTGCAAAGCTGGCTGCGTGGGCGCAGGATTGGGCAAAGATGTTTCAACAACCAGACCCTGGGCGTCTCCAAAGGCAAACCCAAAGGAGGTTGTTTCAACAAGAGCGGTTTAGACCTGTTTAAGACGGGTCTGAATCGGCCAACGCTGTTGGTCTCTATTAAAAGCAAGCTTCCGAGTTGGTGAGACACAATGTAGTCATGGGAATGACCTTCCATTGGCATCAGAGAAAAGGGTGATTCTAGGGGTATCTTCCCCATTCTTTTCAGCCATCGTCCTTTTCAAAAACCAGCAATTTCGCAGGGTTTTTGGTGGTTTTCTAGAAAGATTCGGATTTGTGGGTTGAGAATGGACATGGAAGTTACCCCTAGAGTGATTGCCTACAAGAAGCATCCCACATCGCTGAGAAGAGCCGCAGAGGGAACCGGCTCCCACTGGGCCCGATTTCTCTTTACAACGACCCAAACGCCAGTAGCCTCAAAACAGAAAGACCCATTTCCACAGGGTTCCAACAGAGCTCCAGCTAGCCAGTACTTGGCACTTCACTTGGCTAAGTCCAGATTTGTGTTCTCACAATGGACAGCTTTACGTGGTTCCTTTCAGTTCCTGCAAAACCTCCATTGAAGAACCCATTTAGTTTCTCTTTCAGTTGAATGGACACTGAAAAATGGTGGGTTACGGGTTACCTTTTGGTTTCCCTGGCAGCTGTTCCCTGCCCTGTCCCACGATTCAAGCACTGGCCAACTGATCCAAGATCGTTGCAGGAGGTAGTTCTTCGCTCCTTCCTTATACAGGGAAATGGGGAATGTTTGGCTTTCAGGCTTCCCAAAAAAGTTTGGACGGAACTGCCTGAGTGTGCTTGAGTGGTACCAAAGCAAGATTGCCATGAGGATGACACACCATTCCTTGCGTGGGATCAAACATGCGCGCCCGGCCAAGAAAAGACGGGGATTAATCCGGTGGCCGCCCGACCGCATTTTTTGTGCAGCAAAAGTTGCGAGGCTCGAAGTCAGATGCTGCAAACCCACCGGGTGCGTGCCTTTTTTTGGGAGGCCACCTTTTGTGTGTGTGGTTTTGAAGGGACACCAAGACTAAAACGACGTGTTTTTCTTTTCATTTTCTTTTTTTTGGGGGGGGAAGGGGGGGAGTCCCCAAAAAACACTAGAACGCGTTCTCTCGCTCTTTTTTGGGCGCGCGATCGATCGAGCCCAGGCCATCGGCCTGCTGACGAGTCTCCTCAAGCACAAAAGCAATGACCGCGTGAGCGCGCGGGAGGCAGATAATTGTTCGGCGGCGGAAGTCGGAGGTTGAAGAGATGACCTCATTAAACCGCTGAGGTCCTTTTGGTGTAAAAAGACAACATTGGGAGTCCCAAAATGCTTCTTTTTGGAGAAAAACCTTAAATTTGAAAGGGGAAATGCGGTTTCGACTGGCTTCGGCGCTCCTTTTGTTCTGGAACGAAATGTCAGGGTTGCAACACAGCCAACACGACGCACGCACTTGTCCTCCAACTTGTTGGCAACTGGTGTTGGTTGCTTGGCCTAGTTAAGGAACTCAAAAGAAAAGTTAAGGAACCCAGTGGCTTTTCCATTGGCCCAAAGACCCAAAGACCCGCCAACTACAGGGCTTTGGGGCCAATGTCCAGTGGTTTTTCCTCTCCCGTGGGCCTTTGCTGTCTCGCTGGGGTTGCGATTCCTTGAGCCCCCCCACCCTCCTGTTGGATTCGCCAAGAAACACAAGCAGCCATTTTTAGGGGCTCTCTGTTTCAGGACACACCCATGCTTGGAAGCAAGGACCAGTCATAGCCATGGTTGCAACCAACTGACCCTTGCTTTTCTGTTCTTGCATGGCAGCCATGGCTTGCGAGGTAACGGGCACAGGCTTTGTCTGAGAGTATCACAATGCTGGGTGATATGCTTGGCTCTTGAATTGACCTTGAAGCTTTCGACTTTGAATTGAAAGGTTCCTTTACCCCTTGATATCGAAGGCAGTTGCCAACCCAGGATGGGTGCTGCATCTCAAGTTCCGACGTATCGAGTTGGTCCCTGCTTCCCTCTTTCCACCCGGCGCATCGGCCTTTTGACCGGAGGGCGATGGATTTTGGGATCTACTTTTGGTGCCAGTCTCGTAGTCTCCGTGAGCTTCAGTACCTTGCAATATTGCGGAAACATGGCAACCCGTTTTGCAGGGAGACTCTTCGGGTCAGAAGGTTACTCCAGCGCCAATTTGCAGATGGACTCGATGTTTTCGGGATCTTCTGCCAAAGGAGATTTCACATCCCTCAACACTATTCTTTTTGGGACGTTCCTTCCCTTAATCTGCAGGCTTTTATTTACTGGGTGAATGGTGAGCGTGCAGCTTGCCAGGCGCAAAACCTGCCATTCCTCACAAAGCGCCGGTGTGCCAAGGAAAGGGATGGGGAGAGCCAGGCTAGTTTTGAAGAACCATCCACTTTCCCAAGGGGAAAGTGTTTTAGCAGTGGTTTAAACTTCCAGGGTCCACTTTTTGACCACCCCTAGACTTCAACTCAGTGGTTCATTCCCCTCAGGAGAACTTTTGGGTTTAAGTCCATCTTGGGGTGGTCAAAATGTGGAACGTTGGTTTAAACATGTTACCAGGGCTTGGCTCCACCCACAAAATCTGAAAACTCTGCCCTCGCTTCGATGTCCCGAAAGCCAAACAAAAAGGTCTTGGAAATCTGCTTAATCCTTTCACAAAAAGCCCTCCCTACTCTGAACCGCCCCCCACCCCCCCCCCCCCCCCGCGGCTGCCTTGTTCATACTCATTCAGGAGGAAAACCAGAGGGAAGGGTGGGCTGGGGGTGTGATCCTTTGATATGGGATCAAGTTTGGCTCTCCAAGTGGCTGGCTTTATGGCGGCCTTTCTACCCTTCTAGAGTGCCTAGTGTTGACACACAGGCAGCCGCATGTCTCTCGAGTTTTGCCTGAGAAGGTGAGCTCAAATAGTCCCCCTCTCCTCGCAAAGCGGGCTCCGAAGGCTTTGTGCGTTTTGTATGTGAGGTTCAAAAGGAGAACATGTACGGATTCCCCCCCCCTCCACGCCCCCACCCCCCCGCCCACCCCCCTCCACGCCCCACCCCCCGCCCACCCCCCTCCACTCCCCTCCACCCCCTCCACCCCCTCCACCCCCCCCTCCACCCCCTCCACCCCCCTCCACCCCCCCTCCACCCCCCCCCCCTCCACCCCCCCCTCCCCCCTCCCCCCCCACCCCCCCCCCACCCCCCCCCCCTTCCCATTAAAAAACACACATCGGGGTCCTGGAGAACCTGTATAAGAGCTGGGCAGGTCTCCGCACGCATGTCAGGCTATCCCCGGCTTTGCCATCGGTGCTGAACCCCCGCAGACAGTTGCTCCTTGCCATCCCAACGTGCATCCCCCTGCCATTCGTGAGAGGGTTCCCCTAGAAGAAGGGAATGCCCACAAAGGTACCTTCCTGAAACATCACCGGGGGCTTATCAATCACGGAGGGCTGGATGGCGATCAAAAGAACATGCCAGACCAGAACTTGTGAGTGCGCTTGGGCCCGGGGGAGGCAAAATTTCAGCATTGCCAAGAGCATTCAGAGCCCTCGTTTGAAGCTTGTGCCATTGAGCAAAGGCAGGTGTTGGTTTGCCTCCCAGCCCCATGGCAAGCTCAGCTCGCCCGGCACGCTCCGAAGCCGGGGGTTGCCAAGTCGCGTGCTTGAGGCTTCCGCACAGATCCCCAGAAGTACCTTGCCGGCGAGTACAGGCACGTGTGCGAATGCGCATGCGAAAGCATGCGAAAGCATGGGCGCATGCAAGGGGTAGGGCCGGACTTGTTGATGCAGGCGCACCCAAGAAAGTCAGCTGGAGCATGTTGAAAGGATCCTGAAAAGGGTGGGGCGCCCTTTGAACAGTTGGGTTAGTATCCCTGTGTTGTTAGAATATCCCAACCGAATAAGCGGCTGCGGGCAATGGGCTGAAGTTTGAAAGGAAAGAAGAGAGTTCCGCATTGTCGTCCATAGAGGGACACCATGCATCATCACACATCTTCACTCAACATTTTAAGCGTTCTATCTACCACATTGGACTTTCGGGTTGAGTGCCAGAAAGCAAGTGCCCTAAAGGGACAACTAAAGTTGAAGGGCATGGCAATCTTCGGCTCCTCTCTGGCTGGTTTCCAATTATTAAACCACTAATTCTTGATTAATCACTTGACTAGCGGTTCATAATGTATGGGTGCATACATTCAGCCTTTGAGCATTTGTTTTCGGCCGAGCTAAACATGGACCATAACAACAATATATACCTTTTTGGTTGGGGGGGGGGGGGGAGAAACTAGAGCTCAACACATCGATACAAATAAATTTACACGCCAGAAACTGCTTTTTTGGGCACGATGCAATTGATCAATGAGTGGTTTCTCTTTGGTTTTCTTCAAAGCAACCGGGTCCCAAGAAACTGTCGGAAATAGAAACCCAAATCAGTCCAAATGTGGTTTTCTGGGGATATTGTCAGGGTTCACTTGGTCAAAGTAATTGTCAGCCAGGCGAATTTTCAGGCATGGCCAACTGAACCCCCCAGTTGTGAATGCCTGCAGCCCCACTAGTTGCAACCCATTGTACCAATTGCAGTTCATACGTCAGACATTGACAGTCAACAAACTAAACGGGATGTGACACTGAGAATATGCTGGAAGCAAGAGGCGGACCAAATAACAGGCGCCTTTCGGTTTTTCTCGCATGTTCCAGACCCGTGTTTTCACTCGGCGAAGGTACATTGTGGCACGATTTCTTTGCGGTAAGTGAAGGGGATGACTATGGGTCGGAGTTGCTTTTCACCTTCTCCCCAACTGTAGCCTCCTTTTCTTGCTGGTGCTCAGTAGGGAATGCGGGAATGAACCCATGGTCCGCAAGGAAACCAGTTGCCTGGTTGGAAGGGCGGGTTCCTTCAATTTCCCATCTAACCCATGTTCTGCAAGGAAACCAGGTGCCTGGTTGCTCATCTGCATCTCCAGCGATTGCAAGTTTCGTTCAACGGGAAGCCGTGGGCGCCTCTGAATTTTTGGCCAGGAGCCACTGCTGTAAGGAGCTCTCCACCTCCATCGAGTTGTAAGGAGGAGGGCTGACGGGCTGACGGGCTGACTGGAGTCGCCCATTTGGCGGTAAGGACACGGTTTCACCGGGTATCCCCGCGTTGGTGCTTTGGATTGGAGTCGAAGCCTGGTTCTTGTAGGCAAATGTGAGAGCGTCCAAACTAGCAATTAGACACTGAGGAACGATGTTTTGTCAAGTGTAGTGGAGAAGGTAGAAAAAGATCCAAGATGGTTGGTGGACACCAACCCCGGTACATGATGTCCACCAAAGGGCCACGCTTCTATTTCCATACCTGGAGCCCTCGACACCCATTCTTTAACGGTCGTTCTTGCAAGTTTGGGTGGAAACGCCCTTTTCTTCCAGAAACGCCCTTTTCTTCCGGCGCCGTCTGTCCTCGTGCTCCTATGTTCGCTGCGTGTGCAACACACACGCAACACACGAAATGACACGAAACCCACGAAGCCCATGAAACTCACGAAACGCATGAAGACACTGGAATTTCACGAAGAGCACGAAATGCACGAAAGACCATGAACCCACAAACCTAGAAAACCCATGAAACGCACCAAAAAGCACGAAGTGGACACGGGGGCGCCGGAGCCTCACGAAACGTACGAATCAAGCAAGTGCATAAAAGACCCACGAATCCCGAAACCAACGAAACGCACGACGTCGGATGCACAGCACAAAATATTCCGAAGCGCACGAAACACACGAAATGACCGACACGCGCAAACACGTCCTTGCCACGAAGCCCACAAAAACGCGCCAAACCCACAAAACCCATGAGGCGCACGAAATGCAAATGCATGCGCAAGAAGTACGCGAAACGCATGAAATGATCGCGAAGCGTTAAACGCATGAACCGTGCGAATCACACAAACACGCAAACCCCTGTGAAGCCCCTTTGAATGCAAAATACGCATGAAAACGCAGGAGCCGCGCCAAATGAACGAAGTGCAATACATCAGGAACCCCACAAAACGTGCGAAAAAAATGAAATGCGTAACACGCACTGCGTGGAGTCAGGAAAGCTTGTGGGAATACTTGCTGGTGATGCTGAGGATGCTGTTGGTGATGGCGCAGCATTCACCTTGAAAAAGCACAAAAAGCAGGAAGAAAAGTGCACAAAAGGCGCAGAAAACGAACAAACGCACGAAACGCGTGAACAGCTCACGAAATGGCCCTTTTGGAAACAAAATTTGAAGGCACGGAACACACGAACAAAGCACACACGAAACGCACGAAATGCTGAAAACCGCCCGAAATGCCCAGGAAACAAAACGCACGAAACAGGCGAAACGGGCGAATCGCACGAAAAGCGCCGGAAAAGCGCACGAAACGCACGAACAACGGATGTAATGCCCTAATTAGGAAACGAAACGCACGAAATGTGCGAACAAAAGCACGAAACGCTCAGGAAATGAAACGCAGGAAACGCACGAAATGCAGGGTATTGTAGTGAAACAAGCGGAACAAAAAACACGAAACATGTAAAACCCGGCCGCGAAACACACGAAACACACAAAACGCACGAAACTGCCCAGGCAAAAACGCTCGAAATGCAAAAACACACGAACACAAACCCTTAAATTCGCGATTTTCTCGGGCGGCCGTGTGATTCTCCTGCTGGCCGCCCGGAACTGCCTGTTGGCCACCCGGAACTGCCTGTTGGCCACCCGGAACTGCCTGTTTCAAAAAAAACAAATCTGCTTATGCAGCCACCAAGCCCTTTCCCAACACAATGTTTCACGCGAAATTTGGCGCTTTCCCAATCTTGCAACTGCAGTTCCCCATGCAAACGGGCCGAGATCGCACCGGCCAGAATAAAACCGCGAGCTTTCAAGGCTTACCAACCTCGGAATCCCACTTAGCCTGGCCCAACCTTCTCACAACTCAAACTTGTTTGATATAATATATAATATATATATATATATATATGTATACAAATACCTATATAGAATATAGGGCTTCGGATTGACAGACATTTCCGCCGAAATTGGAGAACGACGCTTTTCGCCTTTTGGCTGTTTGCATTTCTTCTCGTTCTTTTTTTGCGGCAAACTGTTGTTCTTTGCGCTTGGGCTGTCAGACCTTACCAACTTGAAGCATTTCGCACCCCGCCCTGATTTAAGGGTTCCCGCCAGGATACAACCCAGCCACCATGCAACGCATGCCAGTTCGTTTGAAGGACAAACCAACCCGCGCGTTGCAGCAGCTGATGTGGGCAAGTTCACAGCTTGTGTTACGAGATGTTGGGAGTTCCCTGGCAAGAGAGGTGAGACTTTCGATGCTGGACACATCTCGCTGCTGCTCATGCGACGCATTCTACAAATTTTGCGCAAAAGAAGTGCTGCCAGCTTGCTCCAAACCAATTTGCAGATTTGCAGCTTTTGCCCAAGCTCCTCCTAAATACCGCTTTTTGACACTTTTTCCCCACCCTCGATGTGCGGCGGAAATTTTGCACGACGTGCTTTTGGCGAAGAGGTTGTTGGCAGAATGTTGCGGCTGAGACGCAAAGTCTCCACGGGAAGTCCGGGCCGATTCAGTTTTCCCGTGGTAAAACATCATTGGGGAGACGTGTGTGAAACACTCGCAGACCGACATGAGGGCTCCTGCAAAGCTCGACAGGCATATCCCATTGTCTGCCCGTGAAGAAGGAATTTAAGTGAAAATGTTCCTTCAAGCCTGTGTAGCAAGCTGAGCCTCATTGCATACTGGGGCATACTGTTCTCAGAGAGGCGCGCGAAGGAGTATCTTAATCCACCCAGCGTTGCTGAAAGCACGGTTCCGCCATTGCCCTTGCGGCTGCGGTGTTTCTGCTGGTTTGAGGCTGGCTTGTGGCTGATTTTCTAGAGATCGGCGAGAATTATTGACGCCATGCATTTCGGCTATGTTTCTTTCCGCAGGAAGTTGAACAGGTATTGCGACAAAAACTGCCAGGAGGCCCAAACTGCCCGTTTGGCCCAAGACCGCCCGTTTGGCCCAAAACCGCCTGCCGGTGCAAACATCCACAAATAAGTGACCGTCAAAGGCCCCAGGTAGAAATTGTCGTGGCTCTTCTTTCGGGACAGTCTTGTTCTAATTTTTCGTAGGAGGGGTCTGCTGTCTGTGAGCGGTTTTCAATAAAACACCTCCCATTTTGTCAGGCAACAATTGTAGGTTTTCGCGGGAGCTACCCCATCTCTGCAAACTGTACCACAAAATGCCACAAAGTGACCATGATGGGATTTGCAGCGGCAAAAGGGGCAAGGAGGAAACGGCACACTTAAGGGCGTAGGGGACAATCCAAGTCGCCAGTCCAAATACTCATACCTCACTATGCCCACTAACAACCAATACCAAATAAATTCCTTGGCTCAGCTTGCCGATTCGTTCGAACCCCAGCAACGGGCGGAAGGGGTTACCGTTTTGGGCGTCTTCGGTCTCCAAGCTCTCACACACACACGACACACACAGGGGGGGGGGGTTGGCGCAGGTCTGAGCTCGCTTGAAGATTGTGATTGAAGATTGGTGGCCCTGATGTTTTTTTGACTCAACGCGAGGACCCGGCAGGAGCAGGATGTAGGCATCGGCATATGAAATCCCACCAGGAGGGGTTACACGGCAATCCTAAAGAAAAGAAATTAAGGGAAAGCTGAAAATGAAGCCAGGCTACAAGCCTCCCGGCGTTGGCTCGTTGCGAGGCCAACTGGAAGAGAGGAACATGGTCCAACGAGCCAGGTCTCGAGGTTCCGGCCTCGGTTCTGGGAAGCGGGGTACCGGGCTGAGAAACCGACGAAGAAGCCCGGGCTTTGGAACCAGATGTGTCACAGATGGAACCAACTTGGCAGAAGAGGTTTTTTTTTTGTCATTTTGGCGTCTGCACGTGGCTGTGCATGGGTGTGCCGTGTTTTAAGGGCACCCTTTTTCTTTTTGGGGTTGGAACCGACATAGACCTCTTGGGGTTGGCACCAAGAGTAACACATGCATGAACGAGGTTTGGAAAATGGCAGTCCCAGCCGGGAGAGCTCTCAAAGTGGCTTGGCTGGCTGCGAAGGGAGTTTTCCGGGAAAGCCCCTTTCAGCAAAGCGCTGAACTCAAGCTGTAGCAAAGATGATGACATGGGGTACACTCACCAAAATGCTGGAAAATGGGGGAGGGGGGGGGGCTCACCTGATTCCCAGAGTCGGGGACACAATGAACAGTGACAGCTCATAGAATCGGCAAAGTAACCCTAGCTAAACCCCGTTTACCTCGTCATAAGCTCCCTACAGCCATAACCTGGTCAAAGAACCATGTAAGTGGCTCTTGCAAAGTTAGGACACCCTTATGCCATCAGCCTGGTCGGGCGTTCCTTCCATTCAAATCCCTTCAGGCCCTAGGCCCCTGGAGCCAGCGCCCTGTGACTTATGAGCTCAACTCCGGGTTTGTGACCGACTTGAAGTCCCACAAACGTTCCTTCCCGCTTTGGGGTGACCCCACAGGTGTTTTGGTTCCAGGGGTGCTCTTGGTGTGGGTTGGCAAATCATTCACACACACACACACCCAGGATCCCAATTGTTTAGTGGCACCCTTGTTCGCAATAAAATGTGGGGGCATACGGATCGCTTGTCCGAGTTTTCGGTCAAACCCTGAAAAAGGTCAACCATCAAATTGGCAATCCGTTGTTCAGTGAAGCGAGGAAGGGGAACTTTCAGCTTTGAAGCACCCTCCCTTCAACTGAGCAACCAAGCCTGGTTCCCAACAACAGACAAGCCAAGCCACAAGAGAACCCCCGCTTCTGCACCAAGCCTGTAAGGGGCCGGACCAGCCACCAATGGACTTGCTGGAAGTTGCTGGTGTGTGGGAAACCAGCTTCTCATGGAGAAGCGCAGTTTTCTTGCCATATCACGAATTACATTGAATCTGGATAACAGGCGCAAAGTAAAATTACCATGGAAAAGCGATTTGTATTCCACCCAGTGCAGAATTTCACCATAAAAGTGGCCACAAAAACGGGTCCCAGAACGGGTTCCAAAATGGGTCCCGAAACGGGAG